TGTGCACTGTGTGCAGGGGAGCTCGTCGGAGGGGCTCCACATGGTCACCACCAACTTCCCCAAGACAACAGGACAAGACGAGACCATCCCAATGCCGCCCGCCGTTCCAAGCCATAGCCAGTGCAGCTGGAGTTGACGAGCCAGCTTTTCATCCCCTCCTGAATCTGTACCGCGACCAGCACCACGACGGCACCTCCCAAGCCGGACCCGACAGCCCCCCCCGTACCCCCCCGCCCCCGCGCAACGGCAACCATCGCCAACAGCTTCACCATCATCGTACACACCCGTCGCGACGACAAGCCAGCCTTTTTCGATATATCTCACCCAAAGTCTGGCCCTGTGCTTAATTAATTTCTTGTTCCAACACGCGGTCCACCCAAGTTCACCACCCCCGAACTTCGACGCAGGTCAACAAACAGCCACGGTTCATTTCATATCTTGTGTTCCCATCGATTTCAACTTCCTGGGATACTGACGACATATTCTGCCAAAACACCATCTATCAAGTCACCTACCTTCTTCTCTCCAATACCCAACACATTGCGCTCACGCCCTTGCGATACATCGTTTCCCCGGTCGCCCCCTTGAAACCCTGATCTTTGACCAAGACGACCTGTCTGCCTCTCCCCGAGCCGACCCTTTCCATCCGTTTCCCCTTAGCACGCACGGCAAGGCAGGACCATGTGGAACGACGAAGATAACAACCCGTATGGGGGGAGTTTTGAGCGAAGAGACTCGTTCTCCTCTGCGAACCCATCTTCTCCCATCGCCGGTGGTTGTGAGTTCTACCCCCCATTCTTTGCCCTTTCCCAACCTATCTCCTACCTTGCCTCGGGCACCTACGAACATGGCCGGCACAACCGACCTGGTGGAAGTCCCCCTGGATCCTCCCACTGATCTGGACGCTGACGATGACTGGGAGCATGTAGATAACTACGATGCGCCCCCCACCCCCTCGACCGTTAGCGACGACGCACCCCCCCATTCCAGAGCAGGAGACTTTAGCGATGACGAGAGCGGAGCGGAAGCTGATTCACACGCCCATGGCGAGCTCATCCCCCGTCGCAAACCTGGCGGCTACGATAGTCGTGTCGAGCAGATGCTCTATGAGAATCCCGAACAACCCATTCTGATTACGGATGCCGGCAAGAGTACAGAGAGTGGCGGCCGATATATAGTGTACACCATCAGGACTGGGGTAAGAGGCAGTCCTGAGTCACGCCCAGGAAGCTGTTGCTGACCATGTCCTTTGCGTAGGAGCTTGTCGTTCGAAGACGGTACTCCGAGTTCGCCTCCCTCCGCGAGACTCTTACCAGGCTTCACCCAACCCTGATTATCCCCCCCATCCCAGAGAAACACACCATGGCCGACTATGCTGCGAACCCTACCAACGCAAAGCAGGACCAGCAGATCATTGATCTGCGCAAGCGTATGCTGTCCGTCTTCTTGAACCGCTGCCGTCGCATGGAGCAGGTCCGCACAGACGGAGTTTGGTGGAGGTTCATGGACCCCAACTCCAGCTGGGTAGGTCGGGGGTTCTTTCGGGGCATTTGTTGGTGGCCACTGACGCTCTGCAGACCGAGGTACTCAACTCAAACCCCGTGGCGTCCATTCCCAAGTCCATCATGCGAGCACCCCCCTTGGATCCGGCCAACCCCACCCCGGGCCATGCCTTTCTCCCTATTCCCGCCGCCTCTGCTCGCCTTAGGACAGGACAAGGCTTGGCGCCCAATACCGAGACGGCCGACCGGTTCCCGCCCGACGCCAGCAACCTTAGCGAACATGAGCTCGACGCCTACTTCCTTGCCTACGAGGCTTCCATCAAGGAGCTCGAGGGCCTTCTTACGGGCCCGATGGAAAAGGTAAACCGGCGCACGCTGAGCCACCTCTCTGCGCTGGGTACGGATCTTTCGGAACTCGGCGCCCGATACAATGCCTTTTCGCTGTCGGAGCCGGCGGTATCGCTGGCGCCTGCCATTGAGCGTATCGGGCAAGCAGCGGATTCTTCGTACATTGCCACGGAGGAGCTTTCGACATCGCTGGGGGCTAGCTTTGCGGAGCCAATGCGCGAGAATGCCCAATTTGCCGGCGTGGTCCGCAATGTCCTCCGATACCGCGTGTTGAAGCGAGTGCAACAAGACATGACGACGGACGAGCTGCAGAAGAAGGAGGCGCTGCTTGTAGATCTGGAGCGCAGCGAAGCCGAGACGAGACGTCTGGACCAATACCTCAGCGGAAGCCAGCAGATTCAGCCTCCACGGAGATCGACGAGCACAAGAGAGTCGCCCAGTCATCACCGCCGAGATAACAGTGGCGAGGATACAGCGTCTATAGACTCGGACTTTCCCCCGACGCACGGCGATATTGCATCAGCGCCGTCCGCCAAGATCGGAGCGCCGGAGCGCGGCAGCCCGACTCACAAGAAAGCGGCCAGCAGCAACTCCATCACCAACAAGATATTTGGGCCGATCCGACATGCGGTGCAAGGCGTGGTGGATGCGGATCCCGAGCGCACCCGCCGGGACATGATCAGCAAGACCAGAGAGTCGATTGAGCAGCTGAAGCAAGCCCAGGTAGCTTCGGCACAGGATGTCAAGGATGCGAGTGCGAGCGTTCTCAAGGATCTCAAGCGGTTCCAGCGTGAGAAGGAGGACGACCTCAAGCGGTACATGGTAAGTTTATAGCCTATGGCGTTCCAAGAGAGGAGGACGTGCTAACTTTTATACTCAAGCTCGCCTATGCCAAGAGCCAGATTGAGTGGGCAAAGAAGAACAAGGAGACGTGGGAGGAGGCCAAGGCGGAGGTGGAAAAGATTGATGAGCACCAACCCTAGCGGGAATTCAGATTGTACTATACCAGCAACAGTTTACCGCGCGGAGAGAAACAGCGACATGGGGATATTCCCCCTTACTTATACAGACTTCTGACCCCGGATAGCGAATGGCTGGCCACACGGAGGCCGAGAGAGGAGCTTGGTGCTGCATTAGCCTTGCTGTCTATTTTCTATTTGGCTGGCTTAGATAGACTAGTGGCTTTGGTGAGTCCAATATTCAGCACACTCTACCTGCTGCTTCTCTCGACGTCATGTTGGACAGGGACCAGAATGGCTGGCGTTTTGGGGTTGCCGGCCCCTGTGGTACAGTGGTGAACAAGGACCCCCCCGGCTGGGTAGTGGACGGAAGTCAACTTTTGACTCTTATCGATAAGAACTCTCCAACAAACAGCCGCCGTCGCAACTCTCGACACGGGCATTCGAACTTTCTTTGACACGCGCTTCAATGCCCGCATGTCCGATTCGGGCAACGATACATCCACTGTTGCGGCAGGGTGCCCGTGACAGGGCCTACTTGTAGTCGCTCTTCTTTCTGCACACAATATTTTCTGGCCGCATTCAATCCACACATCGAAAGGGAAAAAAGATGGACCCTAACTCGCGCCCCATCGTCGACATTGCCAACCCCGGCGTGCGCGTCGACCACCAGACGGTCAAGAGCCTGAGGGCCGAGGTGGCGCAACTGCTGGGCAGGAGTCAGTACAACTTCCCCGGCGCCCAACCCGTGAGCTTCTCGCGGAGCCATCTCGAGGAGCTGCGCAGGGCAGAGTAGGTCGGCCGTCCCCGGACCCTTAGCTCCTCTCGCTGACAGCCCCCAGCTACTACGTCTGCGAAAAGTCCGATGGCATCCGCTACCTCCTCTACCTGACGCAGGACGAAGAAGGCGTCGAGTCGTGCTACCTGATCGACCGCAAGAACGACTATTGGTTCATCCACGGGCGCAACCTGCACTTCCCCATCCCCAACAAGCCCGAGGACTTCCACCGCGGCACGCTGATCGACGGCGAGCTCGTAATGGACCGCATGCCCGACGGCCACCGCGAGCCGCGCTTCCTCGTCTTCGATCTGCTCGCGCTCGACGGCAACGCCGACCTGCTCGTCAAGCCGCTCGACAAGCGCCTTGGCTACTTCAAGGAGCACGTCATGAAGCCCTACAAGGAGCTCTTCCAAAAGTACCCCGGCGAGCTGCAGTACATGGCCTTCCAGCTCGAGATGAAGGAGATGCAGTTCTCGTACGGCATCGAGATGATGTTCCGCCACGTGCTGCCGCAGCTCAAGCACGAGAACGATGGCCTCATCTTCACGTGCCGCGGCACCCCCTACCAGTTCGGCACCGACCCGCACATCCTCAAGTGGAAGGCGCCCCACGACAACACGATTGACTTTCGCATGCACCTCAACTTTCCCGTTGTGGAGCCCACGCCCGAGGAGCGCGCCGACGGCATCACGGAGCCGTTTGTCGACTACGACGGCGTGCCCGAGGCGCGGCTGCTCATATTCATGGGCGGCGACCGCGGCGCGCCGGCCTACGACGAGTTTGAGGACCCCCTGTACCTCACCGAGGACGAGTGGGAGAAGCTCAAGGCGCTGGGTGACCCGCTGCAGGACCGCGTCATCGAGTGCTGCCTGGACCCCGAGAGCCGCTGGAGGCTGTATCGCTTCCGCGACGACAAGAACGAGGCCAACCACGTCAGCACGGTGAGGAGCGTGTTGGATAGCATTAGGGACGGGGTGAGCGAGGAGGACCTGCTGGGGGCGGCCAAGGGGATCAAGGATGGGTGGAAGTTGAGGCAGCAGGGGCGTCAGAACTAGGGGGAGCTGGCGGTTACTGAGAGATGGGAGTTTTCTTCGGTGTTGGATTGCCCCTGGGTGTGATTTATGGCGTTTGGGCAGGGAGGACGGATATGCTGGAGACACTGGTTTGGCTGGGAAGGAGTTGGGGGGTTTTTTTTATAATACACGATATGGAACCGTCTGGTCTGCCTTGGGGCGCGAGGAATGTGACTATGAGCAGGTGCAGCTGTGGGAGAGGTATCTGGTCAACCCCTCGTGGATATTACTGGGTCACTCTCACTGTTTGCCAGAATGTCCTTCTCTCTCCATATCCATCAGAGTTGCAATTTCGCCCGCTGGCAAAAAGTTTGACATAGCGCATTGTCAAAAATTGTTCCGCTACCGGGAATCGAACCCGGAGCTTCGCGGTGATCAGGCAGAGCCTTGAAAGCGCGATATGTTGACCGTTACACTATAGCGGATTCGGTCGCTGCCAATTGGTAATTGGTGCTGCTCGATGGAGAGTGGCTTCGGTTAAGGCGCCTAAGGAGCACCTGCATTCTTTGGTGTCTGCGTTGGGATGGACATCATCCTGGTCGACTTACACTGAGGCACCTACGCCCAAACTACCGGATCAACCCCATCAGTTTCTTTCTTCCTTACGTTTCTTCCTCTTCCGTCCTTCTCGCCATCCCCTCTCTCATCTCTGCGTCCCGTTCTTTCTACCCAGAACACATCCCAGCCCCAAGAGGACGCCATCGCCATGTCCCTCAAACAACGCGCATCAACCACACCAACCACACCAACTTCCGGCTCAACCTCGTGCCGATAACTGAAGCCATCCCAAATGCAGATCGCATCTCCATAGACCTAGGGCCGATCGGGCTTCAATCAGCTCTTGTTTGGCGTCGGGTAGAAGTCCACGGAGGCACGGCAATGTCACCTCTTGTTCAAGTGCTTAGAATTCAGTTCAATAGACTAGACCGTGTTATAGGTGTAGCTTCTCGCTCAGCAGCGGTAATGCTTCTGACGGCTGATGGACATGAACTTCCAGCCTTCTCTCCCTCACAAAGCTGAACAGCACGATGAGCCAATCAATTTGCTCTTCACACCAGTGCCCCAACTTGCCTTGCAGTTCAGACAAGCAGTTTCGCCAACACGGAATGGTTGGGCAGAGACACCGCCTCATCTTGCCGCCGCTGCCGCCCAGCCCCGAAACCGCCGAGGCAGGACTTTCGGGGAGTCCCTAGGACATATCTCTCCTCACGCACAGATTTACTCACATCCGAGATTCACATCCAACACCAGAACACCGTGTGGTCAGTCTTTTCCAGTTCAATGTGTCCGGCTGCTACTGCTGATAACCGGCAATAGACAGCCCGAAATGGCCGAGGCCATTGGCGTCGGCGCGAGCGCCCTCGCCTTCGTTTTGCTGGGTCTCAAGAGCGTCCAAGTGGCCTACCAGGCTTTGTCCTCCATCAAGGATGGACAGAAGCACGTCAACCAGATCATAAGCAGTGTCCTCGGCCTACAATACACACTCGAGCGGCTTTCTCGCTGTCGCCTCGTCGTGGAACACCGGGATGAGGGTCTCCTGAAGGCGACCAAGGCCTGTGCCGACGATATGAAACTTTTTGCCGATCAACTCGAGAAATTTGACAAAGCGCACTATGGCGTAGCGAGGCAATGGAACAAGGTCAAGGCCTTTCTCAAAGAGGAAGACCTGGAGAGGATGAACGCCGCTGTCGTTGGGCATACCACGGCCTTGAGCCTCCATCTTGAAATTCTGAACAGGTAAGAACTTGAAGCTGGTGCGCTTTGGTTGGTTACGGACCTTTGTTTATAATTTTCCATAGCGAGACGATAGTGACGATCCGCGATGACGTTAAGGCCGTCCTCCCTGTCCAGCAAAATATCCTTGAAACGCAGACAGTTCTTCTCACGCAACAAACGGCGGTGTCCACCTTAGTCCGGAACTCGATGACACAGCACACTGTCGAGGCTCAAGATACGAGAGAGACCATCCAGATCTCGACGCAGGGCTTGCACACAAAGATCCAGCAGGTCAATGATCAGCTCAAACTGCTCGAGAGCCTGCTCCGGCAGTATCCATCACAGGAGAATGCCATCCCCAGAGTGGTCGAAATCGTTGGTAACGGTAGCACGCAACCAAAAAACGAGCCAAATCTTGAGGATGACATAGCAGCAAGCATTCGGTCAATTATCGAGACGATCCGGAACAGAGAAGGCGTGTTTGCAATGGACGAAGTAAGAGAGATTGGCGATGCGCTCCTCGGCTTCCTGAAGGCATTTTCGTCTCAGCATCTTGTCGACTTGGAGGCAACAAAACTTTCTCAATATGACGGAGGTCGCCATGACATTGAGGCCCTACGAAAAAACCTTAGGGCTGTCCAAGTCGCCATGCAAGATTCTCGACGAATCGAGTTGAACAAACAGGGTAAGCAGCAACTGAAGCTTGGAGTCTGTATTCCGTAACACAACGATCAATCTCTGAACTCACGCTAACATGTCATTTTACCTAGGCAAAAAACATAACATCAAGACGAATGCCCAAGAGGTTCGAGTATCACAGATCACGAGATTCAAAATATTTTACCTTAGTTCCGGTACGATCTCAATCTTTTCCAAGGAGTCTCGGTTCCAAAACACCAGAAAGTGCACGTCTTATCCGACACGATGCTTTAGCGAGATATCGGAAGAGGCAGAAGATCTGGTCGACAAAACAGACACGCATGTGACTTTTATTCCACGGCTTCAGCGCCGTGCGGTCAGAGAACAAGGATTTCAGGCGACATTTCGTCACTTGTATTCTGACCAAGGATCGTACCATGCCGTGCCATGGCTCTGTGCCAACAACATTATTCCAAACGACTCTCTCGTTTTTGATGTGGTGCAAAACGGCGAACTTACTAAATTTCAGGAGATGTTGATGCGGGGGGAGGCATCACTGCGAGACCAGGACGAACATGGAGCGTCTCTTATATTCGTAAGTTTCCAGCATCAATCTTGCTATATACTCCGACTATCCAGCTAACAGTGTCGCTTCAAAGTATGCGAGCAAGCGACCGGACATGTGCCGGTTCCTCCTCCAAAATGGAGCTGATGTCGAGCGCTTTGCACCGCTGCCTGGAGACGTCAAATCGCAGGCAGGGACCCCATTGGCCATGATTCCTTATTGGGAGGGTGAACATCGTCAAGATAAGGAAACATGTGTACGCCTCATGGTCAATGCTGGGTGCGACCCGGACATATCCACTGCCCCTTTGATAGGTGATCCACGTTGGCACAATGTGTCTCCAGTGGAGGATGTGTGCAGGTATGCCACAGAAGTAAGGCACCTCAAACTTGCGATGAGTATGAAGGAAATTCAATGCGGCGGAAGCTAATAACAAAACTAACTCAATAGGACATCATGAGAATATTTTTCGCAGACGGGGGTGCCTATATCAATACGCGCCAACGGTATGGCAGGACACCTTTCCTGACTTATACATCGAGCAGCAACATGACAGTCAGCGGCTTGTCATTTCTTCTTCGACAAGGTGCTAATGTTCATGATCGGAGCGAGGAAGGGCGAACATGTTTGCACTGGTTCCTTTCGGTGGGTTTTTTCGAGCACTGTGACGTATTTAGCATGAGTTTCTCCGCATGGGTAGACCGAACACGACCCGCCCTCGAATATCTAATCAATAGCGGCGCGGAGGTGAACGCTGTGGATGAAGACGGTAAAAGTGTTTCCATTTACGCATATGAGTACCTGGGGGCATTTCCTAAAAGCCAGGTTGGCAGCTTCCGTGGGGACTTATGGGATCGAGTTCTGGCCGGGACTGGGTTTGACGTGGCGTCCTACCGCAACAGCCATGGTATTCCACGACGGGCCAAGTATACCTGGGGTTATACCCGAGAGGACTTTGAACATTTATGGGAGGGCATGGTGGAGCTCTGCCCTTACTACCACGACTACGAATACGCCTGCTTTGGGTCTGGATACCTACTCGGCTTCCGCTTCCTCTGGCGACAATGTGGACTCGAGGTTGTCGAGGAGGACGACCGTTCAGAAAATTATTCCTCGTCGGAATTGGGTGCTCTGGACATCTTATACGATCTTAACCCAGAGGGCTCTTGGTATCCGGATTGGGATTCGGAAAGTGACGGGGGCTGTCCGCTGGAGTAGAGATGGCTGCTACATTACGTCAGGGACCGCCACACACAAACCGTGGGCCTGGTCGCGGGTTTGGCTGATGGAGGACGCCAGTTGCAGTGAAAGATTGGGCGACTGTTCTATTTGGTCGCGGGGGTGAACTCGGGTCGCGCTCCGCCTTACATGTACCATTTCACTGACGGTGAAGCCTTTTTCTTCGTCGTTTGTATTTGTGCGTCAACATGGTTTAGATCTTGTTTATTCCAGGTTACATATCTCAAATTCAAGGGGCAATCATAGATAAGTTGGTCTCTTACAAATATGACAGTAGTTTCTCACAAAATATCAAGTCTCGTACATTATCCCGTGTACCAAGTGCCTCCGACTTCATCAGCGTCTCCTGGGACAACATTGTTGAAAATATGGGTTCCTGGTCTCAGACCGGCAACAGAAAGACGCGACGCTGCGCTGTGCCAACCGCCACTTAGGCGTTAGCATAGTAGATAGAGGAGGCATCACGGTGGGTATTGCTGTTTGCTTTGTGGCCTGGAGTTAGGCGTAATCTTTCCTTAGACGGTAGACTTTACATAGATATAAACACATCGCTGCCCTTGGCCGTCTTACCCTCGTCAATTGTCCGAGGCGTTGATTCAACCCCCCTCCCCCACCTCGGGGGGTTCAGAACCTGATGAGCTCAAGCCAACCCCCGTTGCAGGAAATGGTCAGGGAGTTTGCCGCGCTGTATCCGGTTGGTTCAGGTTCTGTGAAGATTGTCTCGCCTGTGCCTGTGCCAGTGTCTAAACACCAAGGGTATTTTTGATGGCTCCTGCGCTCCTCCTGGGTGGGACACGTTGTTTGGGAGAGATATGGGAACTATGGGAACAAGATACGCATGGGGCGGAGAGAGGGGTCTGGGAGTTTAAGGGGTACCGGTGCTTGCCTACCAGTGGCGATATGGAGGATGAAGTGCTCCTCGTGGATATGTGAGGAGTGGTTGGAGGAGGGCTGATGAGAAGGGGTGAAGAAGGGGCATGAGAAGGAGGTGTAGAAGGGACATCAGTCTGATTTCGCCTAAGCATCAAAGAGATTTCTGCAGATAGGCGCAAGAAAAGCTAGGAAGATTGTACTGAGTCAATTTACGGGGATGTAACTTCAGATCACAATATCTTCCCTCCCACCAGACAGAAGCGGTGGCTGGACGAGTTGGACGGTACAATACATCTCTAGTATTACAAGTCAACGGCTCTATCATGCGCCCCGCACTCGCCGCGCCCCCAGATCTATACACGCCCAACCATGTACATACATGCATCTACACGT